AGCCACGCCCACAGAACCGGTAGTAAAAAAAATTAGAACCCACCCCTGCTAAGGACCACTTGATATAAGTGGCTTTCACAGGTCACTCTGAGATGTAAGGGCATTTCTGCTTCATGTAAAAGCATTCTTAACTTCATTTTCCTTTTGTTAAAGCACAAAATGGGATATTTCTAGCTTTGATGGGAATATATGTATTTCTACATCAACTTTATCATCTTTCCCATCTTCCCATCTTTCTCTTTTTTTTAATTAAAGAGTTTTACAGAAAGAAAAAAAAACCAAAATTTTTTTTATAAGTATTTCCCCATCCCTCCCTCCCTCCCTTCCTTCCCCCCCCCGAACTTCCCAGAACAAAATACAGGGTATACAATTGACAATCATATGCTAAACTAAGCTAATAAACTAAGGATTCCTATCCCCCTTCACACTTTTAACTCCCCTTTTACTAACTAAGCATCAATACTCTTAATTTTTCTATTCATTCATAAGCTATTTGATACTTTTTAGTCCGATATTTGTTTTGAATATAATCAATCCATCTTCTCCATTCCGATATATATCTTTCTTGTGAGTGATCTTTCAAATATGCTGAAATCTTCGCCATTTCTGCCAAATTCGCTACTTTTAATGTCCATTCTTCAATAGTAGGCAAATCTTCCTTCTTCCAATATTGTGCCACCAAAAGTCTAGCTGCAGTTATTAAATTTAAAATCAATTTAGTCTCTATAACCGTACAATCTGTGATTATACCCAGCAAAAACAATTGTGGAATAAACTTTATCTTCTTTTTAAGAATATTTTGAATAATCCACCATATTTTAATCCAAAATGCTTTAACCTTTTTACAAGTCCACCATATATGATAGTAAGTGGCATCATCACAATCACATCACCAACACTTAGATTGTAAATTCAGATACATACAAGCCAACTTTTTAGGATCTAAATGCATCTATAAAACATTTTATAAAAATTTTCTCTTAAATTTTGTGCTTGCGTAAATTTTACGTTTCTAACCCATATTTTTTCCCAAGTTTCCATCATTATTGGTCCATCTTTCTCAACTCTCATCTTTCCTACTACCTTCTCCTATTGGTATATTATGACTGATCAACTGTTGTTTGTATCTTATGATTTATGATTGTATCTTATGACTTATGATTTATGACTTATCACTTCGCTGTTTCCTCTTTGTTGAGAGCTTATGCACAGGAGACAAATTCCTTGTGTCCAACCAAACTTGGCCAATAAATATTTCTGTCAGTTCGCTGGGACAGTTTAGAACAAGAATGAAATCAATATGTAAGAGGAGTATACCTGGTATTTTATTTTTCAGTTGCAATCATCTGATCATGCCTTCATGAAGAGACAATATTAGCTGCTATCATGAAGAGAGATGATTCACTTTAGTTTAATGGAAACACAACTGAGAACAGAATTCAGCCTATTTGTCTACACACCATGACTCTATGCTGAGATCTTAGCACTTGGTAAACCTCCAGCATGGATTCTATTTCCATGCTAATTTTGTGCTTGAATCTATCCCATCCCAAGTATTATTTAGGCTATTTTCAAATGGGGACGTATAAAGAGCAATTGCAAGCTTCGCCTGCTAATGTGTTTAATGGGATACTAGATATTTATTTCCAGTATGTTGACCTGTCATCTTCTGTAAAAGTGTTCCCAAGAAATTGCTCTCTCCCTCCCTCATAGCACAGACTTCTTTCTCGTTGATCATCTAAGTCTCTTGATTATTCAGAACTGTTTTTTCATACCATGGATGAAAGGATGTGCTAACCATACTCCTTCATATAAATAAATCTGGTTGTGATAATTTTGACACAGTGGCACCATTGTTGCTCTTTCAGGTTAGGTCTTGTTCAGATTCTTCTGAGGTGAAGAGCTTCTAGTAGAAGGCTAGGATCTCCACCGAGTTTACTTCTGGTGGTTTGAATTCTGATTTCCCTCTTCTTCTAAGCTGGAAAAGTACCATGTGTGTTTTAGAGAGTTTGCTTCTGGTGGTTTGAATCCTGATTTCCCTCTTCTTCTAAGCTGGAAAAGTACCATGTGTGTTTTAGAGATGACATTTTTCAGAATGGAGGATTTTTTGGTTTTTTTCAGAGAATTGACCAAAAAATCCATAGCTGTATATTCAAACAGTTCTGTGCAATTCCCACTTCAGGTTCCAGAACATATATCCTAATATTGTTTAGAAATAGTTTTGTGAAAATGGTCATAAAATGTTTGTTTTTCTCATCTTAAAATTTACTACTGATAATTACAAACATAATAACTGTGATCCATATTCTCTGACCAATTATTCGAAGGATTTGCTGGACACCGGGCACTTAGTTTGGAAACCTTTGTCCCATTAATACATCAATGATATGATGCAGTCCTACTTTCAAACTTAACAGTTCTGTTTCCAACCCCACCAACACATCCACAAAATCATGACACAGAAGGAAAGGAGTTGAACAACAGAAAAACTGTTAGAGGAACAATTCAAAGTTGCTTTGTGCAGTTCAACTGCGTAATGTCAGACTAATTTTCAATATGCTGTCAAGAGGTCTGCATGGATCACACACACTAATGCTTCACATGCTAACTTGATATGCTAACATTGCTGAGGCTGAGGCTGAAATTATCCATATTGAATGCCACAAAGTAACTTTTCTAATATTCCAAGGGTCACTTTTAATAATGACCTTGCTGCCTACATTTTTCTGATAATGGATGATTTTATCCAATGGCTTTGCTCATTAAATTGAAAGCTAATTGAGTGTTCTCATTTTCGTGCCCTGTTTTAAAGGCTTAAATTGACTTTTAGGTTGAGATGGATAAAAATATTTGGTTGCATTTTGGATTTTAGTTGCCTGTTATTTTATAAAAAATGCAACTAATCTCTTAAATGTTCAGCTCATTGTTCCATGTGGAATGTTGAAGGTGGCCAATAATCAATTATTTAACAAGACATTAAAACAATAAACTGTAGCAATCAAAGAGCAATTTAAAAAAATCAAAGTCAGTTAAAATTATATTAAGATCTGCATTAAAATGCAAATTAAAATGCAGAGTAGCAAAGCAGCAAACAATGAAATAAATCAATTTGACAGAGGAAACGGGGCTGTAGAAACTTCCATTGGAAGCATATTTGCAGTCTGAGAGGGAGGCCTGAGAAAGAAAAGTCTCTTTTTGTGGTTTCTCCCCTGATACTTCTTTGATGTAAAAAGGACTGTAACACCTCCTTCATCCCCCCCCCTTTCCTTCTAGAATCAAACAATGCAGGAGAGAAAGTGGGACCCTGTGTTCTATCTGCTTCTTTCTCCCACACTCAAGCCCCATCCCTGAACTCGGTGCTCAGTCCCAACATCTGAGAGTGAATTCTTTGTGTTCCTATTCAATGGATTTAGTTTTCAAGGAAGATTTGTGCTCAGTGGAACACAAAAAGAAATTCACTGGACTTCATTCCAGACTGGTGCACACTCAGGGAGGTGGCGATGATAGTGGATATTACTGAATCTCTCTCTCTGTGTATTTGTGTCTCTGTGTCTCTGTGTCGCTGTCTCTCTCTCCCTCTCCCCCCCTCTCTCTCCCTCTCACATACACATACACATACACACAGTTCCACCATTGTTCCCATCACAACTTCATCCTATGCTTGACAGAATTAAAATGCAAAAGCAACCTCATGGGGAAATTAAATGAGTTAGGATTTGGTTTGGTAGCTCTGCCACAGTGCAATTAGCAAGGAATCAGAGCACAGATTGATCATCTGTTGTTTATGAGTTCACTAAGTATCACAATATATTTGTATTGTATCTATGACCAGCTCTTCCATTTGAGAAGCAAAGTGTCCTCCCTGAAGTGAAATCCAGCAGGTTCTAACAGGTTCTGGAGAACTGGTAGCGGAAATTTTGACTAGTTTGGAGAACTGGCAAATACCACCTCTGGCTGGCCCCAGAGTGGGGTGGGAATGGAGATTTTGCAATATCCTTCCCCCAGGAGTGGGGAGGGAATAGGATTTTACAGTATCCTTCCCCCAGGAGTGGGGTGGGAATGGAAATTTTGCAGTATCCTTCCCCTGCCACGCCCACCAAGCACACCCACCAAGCCACGCCCACAGAATCGGCAGTAAAACAAATTGGATTTCACCACTGGGTGGTGGTAATTTTAACAACTGGAGGCTCGTCCTGCATATGTGGCTGAGCTGGAGGATGGGAATGGGCCACGCTACAAAGGCCTACGTGAAGGGGTATCACCTTCTTTTGTAACGTAGGTCTTGTCTATCCCTGCACCAAGTCTGACTGCAATGAACCAGCTGTTATTTTGTTGTATATTTCATGTGTTGAAAAACAGAGGGAGCTTCTTCGAAGATTAGTGCCAAATTATTTCACAGGTATTAAGTTAAACAATCCAAACAAATCCATATGATTTCGAGTTTTTTTTTTTTAATGGCACTTTTAACATACGAGAGAAATGTTTCTAATCTTAGGCAAACTGCACTCCCCTCTATTACACTGACATTTGGAATGACAAACAACCGTGCATCTAATGAAGCAAAATATGTTTTTCTCTCTTTGAAGTCTGATGACATGCAATGCCTTTGAATATCCCTGTTTAATTATATGCATCTTGCTGTGAAAAGTTACAAAGTGCAACATCAGTGGCTCAAGCGTTCTTATTTTCTCCCATCTTTTTTCTTTTTCCCTGGGGAGAAAAAAAATATAAAAGACAAATGAAGTCTGCATGAATGTGGGAGGCTTTCTGAATCACTGAGTCAGAATCAGGCCTATGTTCAAATAAGGCACCCTCATCCCAAAAGATCAATCTTCCTAGGCTTACTTCATTTTCCAGTGGTTTGTGAGGCATCAAGTGGCTGTATAGTGTGCAGGCTCTAAAAAGGAAGATCCCTGATACTTTAAACATTTAATTTAACTTAATTTGGAGCAATTCTGGGCATCCTTTGAATAATTTCACCATTTGGCTTTTGTCTGGAGTTATGAAAAGAGAAAGAATGCACGCAGAAAGCTAAGGCTCATGCTCAGCAAGATTGGCTATCAGAGAAGATTCTGGTTGAGTGAGCAAGAAGCCGGAAAGCATCTATTACAGTGGTGGGTTTCAAATTTTTTCGCTACCAGTTCTGTGGGCGTGGCTTGGTGGCCATGGCATGGCTTGGTGGGTGTGGCTTGGTGGGCATGGCAGGGGTAGGATACTGTAAAATCTCCATTCCCACCCCACTCCAGGGGAAGGATACTGTAAAATCTCCGTTCCCTCCCAATCAGCTGGGACTTGGGAGGCAGAGAATAGATGGGGGCGGGGCCAGTCAGATTTTTACTACCGGTTCTCCAAACTACTCAAAATTTCTGTTACTGGTTCTCCAGAACTGGTCAGAACCTGCTGAAACCCACCTCTGATCTATTACTAATGTGGTCTGAATTTGGTGTAGGCAAAATTGAGCCCAATATCAATAAGCAAGTACATGAAACCATTGATTTGAATTATTTCCTATGCCTGTCTTGATGGAAGTATAGTTGTACCATTGAAAGTAATGGTGTGAATTGGTCACCCGTTGAGGCTGTGGCTTCCATAGGTTAGTATTAAACACTGTTTAAGCACTGTCATGATTTAATATTGGAAGTGTTTTGGGGGGCAATCAACTGAAATGGCTGCTAAGGGATCAAAGCAGCATCATATTTTAACTGGATCAAAGCATATTTTGTGGCTTTTCTTTGATCCAGTAATTCTCCTTTTTTTTTTTTTTTGGGTTAACTCTGGCCCATCAGAAGTCCTTTAGGCATGCAAACTACACATGCTGAAGCCATTTATCTTGAAGCCAAACAACTTGTTGAGGCTTATCAGCCCTGCATTGATGCTTTGTGAAGTGTGCTACCTCTAATGTAGTCCATTATGTTTCCCCAAATATTTGAAGCAAAGCTCTGATACAAATCACACCCACTTTGTACAGGTGTAATTATTAGTGAAAATTATCTCAATGTATTGATCCTTATAGAACAGCAAATTCTGATCAGGTGATGCTAACCTAGATGGCTGCAAATAATTATTTCCTCAAGGGTTTGGGAAGCAATGATTATATGTGGGAATAACCAAGGATGCAATCAATACAAGTTGATATGAACTCAAAATGGAAAAAGAGCATCCCATTTTCTTTCTCTAACCCATAGGTGTCAAACTTGTCATGTGACGTATCGTGACTTTTTCCCCCTTTGCTAAACTGTGCGTGGGCATGGCCAGTGCATGACACATCTGGCCTGCAGACTGCAAGTTTGACATCCCTGCTCTAACCCTTATACAAACAAATCTATCCACACAGACATATGCTTACAGGTATGTCCTATTTATCATCTCTCCTCTCACACACCCACACTACCTCTCTACAACTCTCCTTTGTTGAGGCCATTGGTTCCTCCCAATGCAAATGATAGCTTTAGGAAGATTTAATCCTATGCCCACCACTGCAATTCTGATCTACATTAGGGCCTCCAAATTTGAATTAAGTAAAACATTCCAACTGGGACAAACCTATCAATCAGATACAGATATATAGGTGAGATGTTTGGGAGAGAAAGGCATGAATCTTTTTGCTGTTCTTACTGGGACACCCACATCTTTCTGTTTGCTTTGTTAGGAGACATACCTGAAGAAAAGAAGAAAAGGCAAAGGTAAGGTGAGTAGCCAGTGGCAACATTTGCTGAACTCTAGAATGGCTTTGAGTAATAGAAATATGGTACCTTCTTTAATAAATGTAATGGTGGTTGTTATTACAAGTAGGTCCTATAATTAGGTCCTTGACTTACAGCCATTCATTTAGTGACCATTTGAAGTTACACTAGCACTGAAAAAAGTGACTTATGACTGTTTTTCATACTTACAACTTGCAGCATCCCCGTGGTGCTCCAGTTATTTTGGGATTGCATCCAAGTCACTTATTACCATTGATACTGTCTTTGCTTTGTTTTGCCGTAATCTTTCTATTTGTAGGTCTGTGTTTTCTCCAGTTCTTTAGCTTCTCTTACACTGTCTCCAGGTATTGCCACATTCACTATCCACAACTTTCTGTCTTTCTTATCAACAGTTGTTAAGTCTGAGGGCATTATGGTGGCAGATGCTTGTCTGTTTGAATTCTAAAGTCTCAGCGCACTTTAGCTTCTTCATTTTCTATTCCTTTGCTGACAGTTCTTGCAGATCTTCCAATGCACCATTATTGCTACTTTGTCATGCCGTTGTGTGTAGCCAGTTTGTGCGATCTTCCTACAGCAGCTAATTCAGTGGTCTGTTGGTTCTTCAGCTTCTTTGCAGAGATGCATTTATGGTCTGTTGCTATCCATATAAAGTTATGGCAAGGTACATACACATATTTAAATTCACTGGTCATGTACTATTTTGCCTTGCCATGTCTTTTTTCTCTTGTTCATTTGGCCTTTCTTGTAGGCCAGTTGGGTTTCTCCAGTATGCAATTAAACCTTCATGAGATGCTATCTTCAGATCCTCCTCCTCCTCATCACCACCATCAAAGTTTGTATGCTGTCCAACTCTGGCATGTAGGCTGTTGCTTCCTTAGTCCCCATTTTAGTCCAGTAGTTCTCTCCCTTTGCCCTAAAGTTTAATCACATCTTCTCTCTCTCTCTCTGCCTTCCACTGATCCTACTCTTTTCCCTCTATATCTGATACACTCTTGTCCTAGTGCTATTATCTGCATCAAATGTAATTTATGAAAAGCCATGATAATCACACCAATTTAGGTTACCTAGGTTACACATAACTATAAACACTGTGAATGATAATAGCTTTCCTTGCCCTTGGATGTTTCATAAATGCTGGACTGTACACCGTTGCATATCCTTCTCTTGATATTTCTCAAATGATAACTTTCACTGGTAGGCAGCTCATTTCTCTCCACAGCTAATCATAACAATGTATGTGTTCATTAAAACTGAATAGTATTTTTTTGGTGAAAATTGACTTTTTTTTTTCATTAGGGCCCTAGCATTTATTCAACTTCACAGAAACGGCTGTTAGCACTAGACTAAATTACATGTTTCTATATCATGTATGGTTTCATTTTCTTGCATATCCAGCTAACATTGCCCATTGTATAAAAAGGGATGGTATCTAGCATGCTCATGCTATCTTTTTGTAGCTGCCGCTGATCAGATCTGCAAGGCATAAATGATCCAACCTTGAGGTGTATTGGTGTTAGAATTGGAAATATGGTTATATATATATTTTGAATATTATTATATTACATTACATTACATTACCATATCATACCGTATGTTAGAGTTTGCAGCAATCCAACCAGCACACAAGTAAACAATTCAGCAGGATTCATTCATATAAGAAACTTCTTTATATACAATACGATACAGCAGAAGCCAGAACCAGAACTCAGAATCCAGAATCCAGAAGAACAGAATCAATAATCACAGAAGCTATAGAATCACAGAAGCACTCATATCAGAGGTGGGTTTCAGCAGGTTCTGACCAGTTCTGGAGAACCGGTAGCAGAATTTTTGAGTAGATCAGAGAACCGGTAGTAAAAATTCTGACTGGCCCCGCCCCCATCTATTCTCTGCCTCCCAAGTCCCAGCTGATCGGGAGGAAATGAGGATTTTGCAGTAACCTTCCCTTGGAGTGGGGAGGGAATGGAGATTTTAAAGTATCCTTCCCCTACCACACCCACCAAGCCATGCCCACCAAGCCACACCCACAGAACCGGTAGTAAAAATTTTTGAAACCCACCACTGACTCATATATATATACAGATCAGTGAACCTAAGCCACACTCAGGGTCCAAGCCGTTTGGGTCACCAAAACAGGTAGAAAGAGGGAAGTCAATGGTCTGAAAAAGTCTGTAGTCTAAACAATCAATTCCAAGTTTAAAATTCTATCCAGGGCATACACCAAAGCTGCCAAATTGCATTCTTCTTCTATCCTGATCTATATCTTTTGTGACTCTTATTTACCCTCTCTAGTTCTTTCTCTTAAATTGTTTATTGGATTTATATTTTTGGAATGAGAAATTGTGACTAGGAACCTTATTGCTAATGGATTATCTCTAATCAATGCAATATCCAAGAACATACAGAAACCTCTTTATTTTCTTCATTCCATAGACATTCTTAGTTGGAAATCTGAAGACTCCAAGATCTTTGCATTCATTGGAATTTAATTTTGTATCCAGATACACAAATGCATATTTCTCTCTCTTCAATCACTGAATTTTCTATATTTCAGGGAACTAAAAATGAAGCAAATGTAGCAGAGTGATCAGAACACAGAAAACCTTAACATTGCTTAGTTGTGAGATCTATTGATTGATATATATATATATATATATATATATATATATATATATATATATATATATATATATATATATATATATATATATATATATATTGCTGCAACATGAATTAAAAAATGGAACATAATAGAAATGCCTAGCCATTATATCAATAACATTCTGTCTTTTTCATCCATGATACTGAATCTCCAACCAACCAACCAAATGGTATCTCCACAATAATGCACATTGATTTTTGACAGATTTATATATAAATCAAAAGGGAAAAAAAGCACATTGTTACTTTTATTTTTAGAAGAAGAAAAAATAGAAAAATCAGAAAAAAGAATACCAAAATCAAACGCAGGGGTGGATTCTACTTACCTTTACTACCAGTTCGCAATGGGGCCGTGCGTGCGCTCTTCTGCGTATGCGCAGAAGCATTTTGATGACGTTGGGGTTGGTGGGTGGAGCTCCCGCTGGTTTTGCTACCGGTTCTATAGAACTGGTGCGAACTGGGGGCAACCCACCACTGATCAAACGGTAAGTATATTTTATTTAAAAATAAGACAGTGGATTTCTCCCTTATCTAAGAACAAAATGCCATGCTTGTAGAACTGATTACACTGATCTTATGAAATATTAAGCATACTTTAACTGTCTTGAGAATCCTCATGGTTGATCCCTACTCACCTCTGTTTCATCTGTGTTGAAAACTGACTATTTATCAATGCAGGGCCAAAAAGAGGTGGAAGTGAGAAGTTCAGGTTCATGGTC